TTATGACGGTTAATTCTTTCCTTTTCAATTCTGTTGATCTTTCAGGTATGAATTGTGAGTAGTTTTAATTAGGTATTTGGGATTGATGAAGGGGATATTAATCAAGGGTTCCGTTCTTGAGGGTTTAAATGCATGATTATTGTTCAATTTGTGTTTGAATAATTCAATTAATATCTTTTGTAATACGAACGACCGTTAGGACTATAATTGCAAATAGAATAATTTGAGAGAGATCTAAATTGTTTTAGGACACCTTTATACATACCTATCGTTCGCTAAGAGATTAGCACGTCTAGAAAGTCATACGCTTGCTCGTTTTGGCAATAGTTTAGAAACTCATCACATGAGAGACCAGTCTCGTTCTCTAGATTTTGTACTCTACACCGCGAGAGAAGCAAGAACTTAGTATTGACATGCGTTGCTCAATTAAATAAGTTTCATGTGATTAAGCCTGATCTGGCCCAAAATATGATTTCCCGGAAACAATCCATGTTCTCTTTCTGTCATTAAATCGAAAGAGCCTTTTAATTTAGTCTTATTTTCTGTCGCTTTTAATTCCAAAAATCCATCTCGCACACCCAAAATATGAATTAATTTAATTAATACTTAATTCCTTTTTTCCGTTCATGTGAAGACAATATTTGTACTTGTACCCAATACTGCTACACATATTCTAATTGCTAGAAAACTCACATCAACCAACAATTGTTGTAGCACTTAAAATATCAATAGTTTTTCTTTAAATGTAAGTACTTGACAAAACCATCAATTGTTCTCATAAGTTTATGCATCAAGAGTAAGATAAATACGAACTCAAAACCAACCATTTTTTGGAGGTCCCAAAATCATCAACTTTAGATCGTCCATTTGGCTAATTCTCGATAATATGTTCAAACACTTTGCACGTCGCAGCATACATATCGATCATACTCTTTATGGAGCTACATTGAGATCTTCAATGAGTAATTCCTGACCAACCTTTCCTCAACCCAAACACGCCAAACCCCCAAGCATCCCAAACTGTCATACTTCATAAAACGAGCCAAGCAAATCAAATGACTCATGAGCCACCGGTACAAACAACTCCCATTTTCGACCCGCAACATCGCCCATTTGAAATTACTATCTAAAGCACTGAACATCAAATGACACAAACAACTGGTGGGAGAGAAGTATCTAGACGACAAAGCTATGCTGGACCATTTTGTTATAATACCAAATCAATATATATATAGTGTGTACCAAATGTGTACGTACACATTTTGTGTACAAATTGCACTTTCTTATATTGGGTAGTTGGGCGATAGCCTCAAGCCCTCAACATCCTCCAATGTGAGAGCCCGAAAATGTAGGGTTAGGTTGTCCATAACAAGAGTGGTGAAAACCTCGATGTTGAGGTTTTCGCCCCAAATATGGTGCAATCCAAGCTAAAAAGGGTATAGTAGAGTACTATAGTGTGTTGGGGGAACCCTTGAGTGGGGAATTGGGAGGATGGGTTGATGAAAGTGAGAGAGACGAGGAGCATGCCGCAAGCAAGAAAAAGACACGGCCCCATACAAAATAAAAATCTCAGTTTTTTAAAAACATTGTAACTTTTTTATTTGAAATCTAATTTTCACAAAAATATATCAAAATTCACAATTTCTTATGATCTTTCATATGACAAGCTAATATTGCATATATGAAGTTTAAAAAGATATGAAGTTTCATCCGATAGAGATTTTTAGGCTCAAAATTTTTCTTAAGTAGATCCAAGTGCTAAAATAAAGATCTTATGGTTAAAATTATCTTTTAGTTATTTAAAAAAAGAGGTTTAAAGTAATAACAAAAAATTAAACTACAAATTTATTTATTTTTACTTCGGAGTGTTTGACTTTTCAAATCATAATTATTGGCAAAAAAACATTGATGACAAATTGATGTATTATAATAAAAGGAAGACTTTAATGAAAAAAACTTTGGTGGATGAAAATATTTGCGACGTAGTTTATAAGAAAAAACTGAATTGATCGAATGAACTGGTTGAGCAACTGATTTGTTGACGGAGAAGATCACTATTAGCCTTACAAGAGCAAAAAGTAGCCTAGTTCATATACCGCACCATAGGTTGTACTATACAACCAGTGATATTTTTATAATTTGGTTGAAAAATGCGACTTCTGTTAATTGAGCATCAATGCACTTATATTGAGCATTGGGCCTATTCTATTAGCATTAAGAATCTAATATTGAGCATCGTAATATCTTTTTCATAACTTCTAATTCACTTTTATTTTATTTTATTGTTTCTTTAATAAAAGTTTCTTAAATTATACTTATGAGCAATTCCTATGAATTTCATTGCGCGAATGTAATTTAACATTAAACTTTTGAAATATGCATGGATAATAAAATCATAAGCTCTGTTAGTTAAGCATCAAAATATTTGCATAGTCTCCCCTATGTAGTATTGAAACTCAGCAATTGAGTATAAAATTTTGCAAAACTCATTGAGCATCAAATTATCTTCATTGAATATCGTGTTCTCTATTATTGAGTACTTAGACCACGTGATCAAATATCTTCATTGAACATTATAATCTACATTCATTATCAAAACACATTCTATGAGTATTGTGTTCTCTACTATTGAGCATTGAAATTATGTGCTCAAACATCTTCATTGAACATTGAAACTCTCCATTGAGCATCAACGCATCTTCATTGAGCATTGATACCATGTGAACAAGTTTTAATATGGTCATGAGGAACTCCAATCTGAAGTGCAATGGTCGTTGAGTTTTGTCGGGCTAGCAAGCCACGAGCACGAGATCTAGTTTGAGAAGAGCTCTTGGTCATATGGGTGTGAACAACAGGTCGTATGTCGAGCGGTGAGCCATCTGTTTGGGGTGTGAGCGGTGAGCGGCCGTGTGGGTGCAAGCTCCTAGCCTAGGTGCGAGCAGCGAGCGGTGAACATGAGTGCGAGCGGTGAACCGTTCATATGTGTATCAATGATGAGAAAGCACAACTACAACACAAAGCCCAATTGGACCATGCACATGGTACAACTGGCGATATGCTATAGTTTGGCAGAAATAACCCTAAATTGTATTATTCGTCTCATATAGTGTGATATAAAGCCCATTTGGTGACCCTGTTTTTTGGCTTATCAGGCTTATCGGCCAACTTTTTCAACGGACACATAACTTGTGATTTCGCGCGCTGAATTTTGTAATAATAAGAAAAAGTAAGGTTGTAGTTACTTTTCTGACTGTATTGGCTGAAGTTACCGTAGAAGATGTTCTTAGCTATTCATTCATGTAACTTTTTCTCAATTGTATTATTAAAGTATATTTTAAATATACTACATAATTTTTTTAATAAATTAACAGAATCATCAATGTAGTTAGAACTTCATAAATTTTTGCACTATCCACCGATTCAACCGAATTCGGTTTTAGGCTACTAGAGACACCAACCTCGCAGTTCGTATACTGTGGAATCGTCGACCCACGGTGAGCACCGTGCTCCACTCCCAAAACGACGTAGTTTTGAACAATTTTTTTTTAAAAAATCACGTGAACAGTGCACGCGTGAACACTACACGCGTGTACGGTGACTATTTTTTTCTTTCTTTTTGTTCCAGTAGAGTGAATGATGTAACTCGCGTTTAAAAATATGTAACTTACGTTATTGATCAATGTAACTCAAGTTCATTCGAAATGTAACTTGTCAAATACATAGTATATGAAATTAAATATTGATTTCAATGTAAACAATGAAAAAAGAGAGTCTAACTGCACAGTTGTTTTAGGTAAACCATGAATATGTTTTGTTTTTAATATCATGACCATAAAAAATATTTTTAAAAAAATCATTTTTTGTTTCAATAGCAGGGGTTCATTTTTTAATGTAACTCATGTTATTACAAATGTAATTCGCGTTGATAGCAAATATAACTTAGGTGTGTACATAATGTAACTTGTTGGAAAATTGAACAATGATTTTTTATGTGTTTGAGAATTATATATATATATTATAAACATTGATTTCAATGTAAACAATGAAAAATTGATCCTAATAGCTTAATTACTTTTTTAAATAGTGAATATGTTTTATTTTTAATATTATGGATATAAAAATGATATTGCAGGGGTTTATTCCGTGGTGTAACTCGCATACATTAAGATGTAACTCGCGTACATTAAGATATAACTCGCGTACATTAAAATGTAACTCGCGTACATTAAGATGTAACTCACGCAGAAAAAGATGTAACTTCATGATATATTATCAAATGTAACTTGAAGAATCAAAATAAACAAACTCAATATATTAAAAACCTCTAAAAACATATAAAAGTGCCAAAAAAAGTATACTTCGTATTATAGAAAAAATGTGTGCATACAAAAAAATATTACAAAAAAGTGTATGAATATAAAAGTAGTATATGGATATAAAAAATATTACATAAACAAAAATAGTGTATGAACATGAGATGCAATACACTTATTTTATTTAGATTAATAAACTTTTTGTTATGTATTGATAAACAATAAAAAAATAGATTCAATTATGATTTAAGATGAAGATAAAGAAAAATAGGATTGCAATTAAGTTTTTGGTATTTTAAATTGATGGAAAAAGAAAAGAACTGAACAAAAGAAAAATAAATAAAGAAAAGCAAAGGAAAAGGAAATACTCCCTCCGTCCCAAATTTATCTTCATAGTTACTATTCACACGGTCAACTCAAATTACTCTTAATTTTTTTCTTTATATATCAAATTTTTATCAAACTTAAATTTTCTTGATCAGACTTTGTAGCGGATTTAATGTAGTTTCTGAATATGTAAATTTAATTTACTAAAAATAATCTGAATGTGGAAAAGGATCAAGTTGCTTTATCATCAGTCAAGCATAATAAACCGAACTACGAAGATAAATATGGGACGGATAGAGTAACAGCAGATAAAGATGAGGGAAAAAGAAAGTCTCTTACTTGTTGAAAGTCATGTTGAATGTCGGCCGATTTAAATTTCTTTATAATTTGTTCCAACCTCGTGTCATGTATGCGGATGGAATTTAAATTTCCAAATCGATGTCGCCACTTGTGGCACAATGCGTTGAAATACAAAAGCAATAGCAGAAACAGCCCCCCGCCATAAAAATGGGAGCTTCTAAACCTAATTCAGACCAAAAAAAATAACAACACCATGAAACCACCTCTTTTCTCCCCCTCTCCTCTCGACTCATCTTTCTGTCCCTAATAAACACAATTGAAAGATGGCTTCGTTCACAGTGCCGTCTTCGAGTTCGTTATCTCCGGCTTTTTTCTGTGGCAGTTCCCGGACTTTGGTCTCCAAGCGAACCTTCCATTTCCCTTTAAACGGAGTCGTGAGTATTGGTTTGATTTTTTGTTATCTATTTTTCTTTTACTGTTTGTCTGCTGGTCGATCATCTGGTGGTGAAAGTTGGTATACGACTTACATTTCTTTGCTAAATTGCAAAACAAAAAGTTATATTTTTTTGCTATTTATAGAAACTGCTGGTAGCTGTATCACATTCCGTAGCCACGTTTAGGTTAGGTAATAAATTTCATAAACTGTTTTGTAAAATAAAATGTTCCACAAGGTTTTGCGGATTTCCTAGGTATATTTCAATCTCGAGTGTTTTTATAGATTGAGAAAGTTGTTAGGAGTATAATGCCTCAAGTGGTTTATTTTGTATTAAGTAGTTATTTATGTTTTTGTTTCATATCTTCACTCTTTATAGTGCAAAGTTTGTGTAGTTGATTCCTGCTGATATTCTTTTTTAAATGCCTATCAGAAATGTGAGCTCACTGAACCCATAAATGGAATGGAAATTGTTCCAGTCCTAACCAACGGAACACCTTCAAAGTTCTTGCATTCAAGACGCCAAAAAAATGCTGTTAAAAGTGATGAAACTAGCCCAAAAATATTCTCTGGCCTTTCTAATCCAAACCTTTCTCAGGTATGTGGTCGTGTAACAAGTGATGGTTGCAGTTTTATTGAAACAATGGAAAACTGGAGACAAAATGTTGAATTATGTTACATTATATGTTTGGACGTTATTAGAACTCCTAGAGAATAACTGTGGAGAGTTTGCTGATATAATGTCTCAAGATCACTTGAAGTGCCTCATGCCTTACCTTATACCTTCATATGTACGTTATAATGTAATTGCAAAGGACATTGTGTCTATGCTATTAGTGACTTTGAGACTTTCATCTCCTTAAAAAGATCTAGGTGTCCAGCCTTTATCTCTTAATCTCTGCACCGGAACATAAGTACATTGAGCTTTTTTGGATTCTCTCTATTTCTATGGTCAGATATGAATGCCGGTGCTGCATGAAAAGATTTTTCTGGTAAACATTGATGAAGTTGCTGTTCCTCCTTAATATGTATGGAGGAGTTATCCAGTAAGGATAATTCTGAACTGCTTTATTCAATAGAAGGCAATACAGATAATGTATGTGAACAATATATGACCAAATTCAGATTGATATTTCATTTCATTTTCATTTACCCCAGTGCCGCAAAGGCTCCCACCTACGGTGGGGTAAGGGGGGGTCGGATGTACGCAGTCTTACCCCTGTACTAAATCACAGAGAGACTGTTTCCGGATGACCCATAGTGAAAATCGCGTCCAAAATTGCATGGACTGACTGCTGCTTCATAACAAAGAAGCGCAGATAGTTTAGTGAGCCATTTTACTTTATTCCATCATAATCTCAAGCCAAAAAATAATGAATCTTTGGCTCCATTGCAAATGATGGAAAACAAATTCAGATTGATATATGTTTTATAAATAATATACTACTCTACTGTACCCAGATGGCTATGCTATAATTATAAGACCCAAAACTTCACTTTTTGGTAAATCAATTTGGAAATGCTTTCCTTGAATACCCAATACTTGTTTGACGTATTCTATGTTAAAATGTTTTGTTTGCACAAGAGCATCTGTACTGTTCTTCAAAAAGTTCAATAATGTGAGATGAACTTCTTCACGCAAATATAGATCTTTGGAGAGAACTCTAAATGGTCAATAAAATTAGTAATATTGAAAGTTTTTTCTTATTGTACTTTCTGAGTTTAGCCACTTAATAAAAGGTTAAATGGTCAGGGGAGTTTTGTGCTCCATGTCCTGTAAACCTAGGTTTTTTTGCTACATAAAAGAAATAGCCTCTCAACTCTCTCTGTGCTTTAGTACAGGGACAAAGCTATGTACATCTGACCCCCTTACCGTACCGTAGGTGGGAGCCTTTGTGGCACTGGGGTAACGTTGTTGTTGTTGTATAAAAGAAATAAATCAATCAATATGAGGAGGCTTCATTAATTGCCTCTTTCAGATTTCAAATTTTCACTCCCATAACAATGAATACATTGATTTTCACCTCACAAAAATAGGACTTTGGCTGAAAGGTCTTATAAATAGGACTTTGATAATGTGTGATCTCAGGAATATGTAAATGTGATTGTACCAACCCATTTCTTTACTACGGCGGTCGGTGGTTATAGCCACTTTTCCTTTCCAATGAATTCATTTGTCCTTAGTATTTAATGCTTGACTTCTTCAAACTAGCATTTATATACTCCAACCGACTAATGGAACGGTATCTGATTTATTAGGAAATTGCCTGGTATATGGGCCTTAACCTGGGAAAGATCCATATTAAGAAGTTTGCAGATGGTGAAATTTATGTGCAGCTACAAGAGAGTGTTCGAGGCAGTGATGTCTACTTGGTGCAGTCCACCTGTCCTCCAGCCAATGAAAATCTTATGGAGCTTCTGATAATGATAGATGCATGCCGTAGGGCTTCAGCCAAGAAAATCACTGCAGTGATTCCATACTTTGGATATGCTAGAGCTGATAGAAAGGCAATATTGTTTTGTATTACAGATGAATTTCATTCTCCTTTATTGTCTTGTTTCCGTTTGTTGTGAACTATTCTCATCTTTCTGATGGAAATAGAATATATAAATTGTTTTAAAATTTCAGTTCTGAATGTGTTCCCCTTTTATTTTCTCCTCTGTTTGAAGGGTGGCAGTTTTTGATGTGGCTCAATGAACTTTAGAATAGGCTCTGATATGCCCAATGTGTTTTTCGTTTTAGACACAAGGACGTGAGTCCATTGCTGCCAAATTAATTGCAAACATTATAACCGAAGCTGGTGCAGATCGTGTTCTGGCTTGTGACCTTCATTCTGGGCAATCCATGGGTTACTTTGACATTCCAGTTGATCATGTATACTGTCAGGTAATGCTAACCTGATTTAACTATCTATTATGGTGATCTCGCCTTTAACTGAAAATGAAATCATTTTTTGCATGGACAAGCCGGTTGTTCTTGATTATCTTGCCAGCAAAAAGATTTGCTCAGATGATTTGGTAGTGGTCTCTCCTGATGTTGGAGGAGTTGCTAGAGCACGTGCTTTTGCGAAAAAGTTATCTGATGCACCTCTAGCCATTGTGGACAAAAGGAGACAAGGGCACAATGTTGCTGAGGTAGATGGTTTAACACCCAAGTATCTCACACCCCCATTTGTTATGCCTTCCTATTATAAAATTTACGCTGCATTTACATGAAATGTGATATCTCATTCAAAGTCTACCTGATGCTTCCATTTAAGTTTAAATTTTGGGAAGAAGAAACAAAAAATTTCAGTATGATAGTATGCAGTTGTGAATGTATTTTATCTATTTTCTCAGAAACGGTCAAGTGGAAAATGACACTAACAGGCTCTATTATTGCATATTTGCATCTTATTGAGCAGGCATGCCTTTAGACTGTTGTACGCTTGTGGTTTATAAAGTTATTTTCTTGCAGGTTATGAATCTGATTGGTGATGTCAAAGGAAAAGTTGCAGTTATGGTTGATGATATGATTGACACCGCAGGTGAGTTAAACCCGAAATATGCAAATCGGACACATTTTTCATTCACAGAGGCATTAAGAGCTCCATATGTTTTATTATCTTTAAGTATTAATGTTTTTTTTATTTCATGCATTTTTTAAACCAATAACTTTCATCCCTCAAGATTAAAATTTTCTAGCGGCTATTGCTATATCCTCCATATGTCCTTAAAAAGAGTCATATTGAGTACAGTACATGTTTTAAATTTTACTCGACTAAATCAATTTACAAGATTTTACAAGTTATGAATAGTTAGCTGTAATCCAGAACTTAATTCCCAGATTGTTTGGAATAGTCGACTACAATCATTTGGCTTTGCAAGAATTTTACTTAAATATGTAAGTTGACTTCTAAAACTGGATTTTTTTGGGATAAGTTCTCAAAGCTTGACTCTTGCTTTGTGTTTAGGATGGATGGAATAAGAGTATAAGACTCACCCATCCTTGGTGCTGTATGCACTTACTGTTGATTATTATGCCAGTTAGCTCTGGTTTTCCAATGTTCTACCTTTGCTCTTCTCATAGTCCTATTTAATGATTTGGCCAACTGATAGACATCATGTCTACCTAGTTTAATTTTTCTTTGGTAATGAGGTGATCCTGTGGGGTGTTAGGGACAATCGCCAAAGGTGCAGCCCTGTTACATGAGGAGGGAGCAAGGGAAGTATATGCATGCTGTACACACGCTGTTCTCAGGTGATGCTTTTCTTTGTATTTTTCACTCTGCTTCATATCCTTGTTATTCCTCAACTTTCCCCTAAATATGCATTAATATTCTTTTTTCGCTTTTCTTTCTAAGTACTACCGTTACACCGTCTGGCTCGAAAACAGTTAGAGCTATATTTATTAGTGTTCAACTTTCAATTTTTTGTAAGGTACAACTCTTGTAAATTATAAGTTTTTTTCTTATTTATATTTTATAAGCTTATGTTATGATATTCTCCAATACAGATATCAATTCTGTGAGCTAGCTAACGTAAATTTAACTAGTTAGGAACTTCAGAAAACAACATTAAGCTTCTTTTATTTAATAGGACTTTATTTGGGGATAAATATAAGTTTTTAAACACGACTCTCTTTAAGGGATGATGGGACTTGCTCCGTATTTTATTTCTTAATTTTGTTTTGCTTGATGATGTGTATGTTAGGTTCATAGGATGCTTATTCACAAAATAATAAGTACGGATATATCTAGCAATACATCTTTAATATGTGTTAACAGGGTGGGCTAGATACAAAGAAGTGTTGAGTTTTAAACAATAATGTTGAATCTTGTTCTCTATATTATGCAGTTCGTAGAAAAATCTTGACTTACCAACAACATCCAAGCCTTAGTCCCAAAAGATATTGGGGTCGGCTAACATGAATCGATACATGATATCACAACCAAAAGGAAAAGAAGGAAAAAAGATAAAAAGATGAGCTATTATGAAAAGATAATATAAAAAAGATGAATATATATAAAAATGATAAAATAAAAAGGCTGCAAATAATGCATATATATATATATATAAGGATAAAAAAACTAGGAAAAAAAAGATGAGGGAAAAAGATTATCAAGATCACTCCTTCACATGAATACCCGCCCTCCACTTAGTTCTCTCCAAAGTCATGCCCTCATCCAACCCCAGAAGAAGCATATCACTTCGAACTCCCCTAACCCACGTCTGTTTGGGTCTTCCTCTCCCTCTCTTCCCTGCCTCTTCTCCACACATCTCAACTCGCCTAACAGGTGCATCACTCGGTCTTCTACGCACATGACCAAACCACCGTAGGCGCGACTCCCGCATCTTGTCTTCAATAGGTGCTACTCCCACCCTTTGTCTGATTGTCTCATTCCTCACGCGGTCCTTCCTAGTATGCCCACACATCCAACGCAGCATGCGCATCTCTGCCACACTCATCTTTTGAATGTGACATTGTTTCACCGCCCAACACTCTACGCCATACAGTAATGCAGGCCTAATTGATGTCCTATAAAATTTACCCTTCAGTCTAGTCGGTATACCTCGGTCGCATAGAAATCCTGACGCACTCTTCCACTTCATCCACCCTGTTCTGATTCTATGGGATACATCTCCCTCTAACTCACCGTCCTTCTGAATTATGGAGGCCAAGTAACGGAACATATCGCTGACTGGTATCTCCTTACCATCCAGAGTAATTCCGCTATTACCACTACTTCTACCTCCACCAAACTTGCACTCCATGTACTCTGTCTTGCTCCGACTTAGTTTGAAACCCTTATTCTCCAATGTTTGTCGCCATACTTCCAACTTTGCTTTAAGACCTGATTGCGTCTCATCAATCAATACAATATCGTCGGCAAATATCATGCACCACGGTATATCATCTTGAATTGACTTCGTAAGTTCATCCATGACTATGGCAAATAAGAAAGGACTCAAGGCCGATCCTTGGTGCACTCCGATAGTAATAGGGAGCTCTTCAGTCCTCCCTACACTAGTACGAACACTTGTAGTACAATCCTCATACATATCCATGATGATGCTGATATACTTGCGTGATATGCCTTTCCTAGTTAAGGCCCACCAAAGAACTTCTCGAGGTACCCTATCATATGCCTTTTCTAAGTCAATGAACACCAAATGCAGATCCTTATGAGCGTCTCTATACTTCTCCATAAGTTGACGAAGAAGGTGAATAGCCTCAGCTGTTGAGCGACCAGGCATAAAACCGAATTGATTCTCTGAAATCTTCACAGTCCTTCGAAGTCTTTGCTCAATCACTCGCTCCCAAAGTTTCATGGTGTGACTCATAAGCTTAATCCCTCGATAGTTGGCACATTCTTGTACATCACCTTTATTCTTAAATAAAGGGATAAGAGTACTCTTCCTCCAACTCGTTGGCATCTTGTTGTTTCTCCAAATCATGTTGAAGAAACTTGTTAGCCACTCGACGCCTCTCTCTCCCAAACTTCTCCAAGCCTCGATCGGTATGCCATCTGGCCCCATTGCTCTTTTCCGTCCCATCTTCCTCAGAGCTTCTTTAACTTCCGTTGTTTGGATCCTTCTCACAAAATCACGGTTTACCATACAATCTGGTATGGACAAATCGCCGATATCTTGCGTTTTGTTCCCGTTGAATAGTGTATCAAAGTATGACCTCCACCTCTCTTTTATCTCTCCGTCGTCCATTAATATCCTGTGATCAACATCCTTCACACACTTAACTTTTGCAATATCTTGAGTTCTGCGATCACGAAGACGAGCAAGTCTATAAATATCTAGTTCTCCTTCCTTAGAGTCCAACTTTTCATACAACTCCTTGTTCACTTTCCCTCGTGCTTCCCTTACGGCTTTCTTTGCTTGTCTTTTAGCCTCCTTGTATGCTTCTATGTTCTCATCACTCCAATTTGTCCCCAACTTTTTGTAGCAATCTCTTTTGTTCCTTATGGCTTGTTTCACCTCATCATTCCACCAAGATGTGTCCTTTTTAGGTGGCCGACATCCTTTAGATTCTCCAAGTACCTCCTTTGCCACTTTGTTAATGGTCAACTCCATTGATAACCACACATCATCCACCTGTGTTTCATTATCAATACGCCATACATCTTCACCGACCATTTTGTGTGTAAAGCTTTGTTGAAGATCTCCCTCTAGCCTCCACCACTTTATCTTTGGCTCCACTTGTTGTTTAACTTGTCTTCTATGGTTCTTACCTCGAAAGTCAAGCACAAGCATCCTATGCTAAGTGACAACACTCTCACCTGGAATAACCTTACAATCAGTGTAGCTAGTTCTCCCAGTGGTCCGTACTAAGAAGTAGTCAATTTGGGTACTATTAGCTCCACTTTTATAGGTTACAAGGTGAGAGTCTCTTTTCTTAAACCAAGTGTTCATTATAGCCAACTCATACGTCAAGGCAAAATCCAAAATGTTCTTTCCCGCCTCATTCCTAGTGCCAAAACCATGTCCGCCATGAATATTCTCAAAGTCATCACGACTCGAGCCCACATGCCCGTTGAGGTCACCTCCTATGATCAACTTCTCTCCCCTTGGCACTCGTCGCACCACGTCTTCAAGATCTTCCCAGAACTGTTGAGTTGTAGATGCATCCAATCCCACTTGTGGTGCATAGGCACTTACCACAGACACAATCTCACCTCTTATCACCAATTTAATGCTCATGATGCGATCGTTCTTCCTGAAGACTTCTACCACATCATCAACATAGTCACGCGCCACAATAATGCCTACCCCATTTCTAGTCTTATCTCTCCCCGAATACCACAACTTAAAACCTCCGGGATTAATCTCGCGTGCTTTCTCTCCAACCCATTTAGTTTCTTGCACACACATAATGCTGATATTCCTTCTGCTCATAACCTCGACTACCTCGGAAGATTTCCCTGTAAGAGACCCAACATTCCATGTCCCAAAACGCAATCTAGCATTCTACCTTCTGTTCTTAGCCCCATCTCGGACCCCACCATGCCCTTGCATATTTGACATCATCCTCGGGCAATGGGATGATGCGCCGCTTCTGGGCGGCGACCTAGCAACCTTAGCATTCTTATCACCACACCCAGGTCTATCAAGTGTAGCGTGCCCCTGCATATTTGACACCACCCCCAGGCGGAGAGATGACGCGTCACTTACGGGTGACGACCTAGCATTAGCGATTTTCATATTTCGATTCATGTCATGTGATGTGACTAAGTGATACTGTTGGCCGTCACACGCCTACCACAGCACCCTCCTCCTTTATCCTGGCTTGGGACAGGCATGATACCAAAAAAATGATATCATGGCGGAGTTAAAATAATTGGACTTGCCAACTAAAATAATTGAGGCATATGGTAGTGTGTAATAAACCATAATGAAGGAAATTGGACTTGTATTCTAAGTTGTTTATTTACTAGGAAAACGTGGAAAACGGGTGATGTTATTAAAAGATACCTCAAGTTAAGAACTGGGGTTTATTCACAATACATAAATTAAATATGTTATCTGTAATTTATGTTGTGTAATCCTATCTTATGAAATAATAATTTGCATTACAGCCCACCTGCAATCGAGAGGTTGTCTAGTGGCTTATTTCAAGAGGTCATTACCACCAACACAATTCCCATAACAGAAAAGAATTATTTTCCACAACTGACCGTTCTTTCAGTAGCAAACCTGCTCGGAGAAACCATTTGGCGAGTACATGATGAATCTTCAGTGAGCAGCATATTTCAGTGATGAAGAAGAAAAAAAATAGGTGATGTAAAATACTCACATAACCCAGTATTTACCTACTTGTTTGCATCGCTCTAATTCCTTTGGAATGAAGAACCAAGCCACCAGTTTGCCATCTAAATGAACTTTTTTTTTCCAACTTGATACATCTTTTTTGGCCTTTTCTTCATCCCAATATAGAGAAAATATGTCCTTTATACATTGATAGATGATAAAAAGGCTAGTTCAAGGTCTGACATCTTAGGTCACTGTCCAAGCGATGAAGTTGTCAAACTGCAGGCCAAGAATATGTTTTTTTGTTGATGGTGCCTATATTCTGTTATGGATTAAAGTTGGAGGCTTTGGAGGCAGATCAAGCTCCATCTCAATTACATAGATTTACTTGAATTGGATAGAACTCTCTTTTGTATATCAAGAATTGACATGTGGATTTGAGATCAAATTTTGTGGTGCTTTTGCTAATGTTGCTAACGATTTTGCTTCTAACCATACGATTTTGAATTTTTAAGCATAGGGGTGAAGTTCTTGTTATAGATAATTTAATGAGGCACACTATGTGGAAATATTCAGGGAAAGAACTTTTACCTAATGTTGATATTGTAAACCATTTTGTCAACCCTATAAAGACCACAGTCACATGGATTGCGGTACGCTTCGGTACGTGATACGAAAACGGGAATGCGGATCGCCAAAATTAGAAATCCGATACATATGGGGACATGGGGTACGCGATTTCGGTATGCGATTTCGGTACGCGGTACGTTGTACCCTTTGTTTATGGCATGGTGAACCATAAACATATTGAATTTACTAAGTATAAATAAAATTAATACAAGTATTTAAACAATTAACTTCTATAACTTCAATAACATTAAACAAACTTAACAATGTTTGCAATAGGGCTGGGACTTGGAACCGTAAAATCGGGAAAACCGATCCGAATTGAACCGAAATTTTTGGTTCGGTTCGGTTTCTATAATTTTGGACTTCCGTTTTTTCAGTTCGGTTCCTATAGTATTTCATCGGTTCGGTTCTAGTTCGGTTCCGGTTCCTAGCCGGGAATCGAACTTCTTATACATTGCATGAGTAATCTTCATTTGAGGTGCTTCTGGGTGGAAATTTTTGATGAAATTTTGTGAGCTTGTTGTTCATAAAATAATGATTATGTCCACCAAATTTGAGCTTAAAATGAAACCGGGAAGTCAGTTAAATAAATTATTGAAAAGCACTACGCCAAAATATATATAAAAACACAATGTTTTTCAATATTTTATTTAACTCACTTCCTGATTGCATTTTGAGCTAAAATTTGGTATATACTACCTCTGTCTCGAAATAATTGTCCTGTTTTGACCTTCACACAGATTAAGAAAGTGAAGTTGACTTCACACTGTAGCGACACTGTTTGGCACTGTAGCGACATTGTTTGACACTGTTTTGCATTGTTTGACATTGTTTTGTATAGATTTGTTTACCAAATAAGGAAATGAGATAATTATTTCGGGACGGATCGAAAAGGAAAGCAGGATAATTATTTTGGGACGGAGGGAGTAATCTACATTTCATGTAGAACATGCTCACAAAGTTTTATCAAAAAATTCTACACGGAAGCACATCAAATGGAGGTGGCCAGACGGTGTTCCGGGCAGAAAATTTTTGTCAAAAAAATTTGTTTTGCTTAATATACCTTATATATTGTGGATCAAGCCAATCCGAGTAGTTATTATTTTAATACTTTAGTCCACTTTTATATTTATTGTTTGTTTGTAATTGTATTTGTTATTGGAGTTAACCTCAAAAGGGAATAAATATTTTGTTAATTACGTTGTTTATTACTACGTACTTTTTACTTATTGTATATTACTAGTAGAAGAATATTATTTTGGGGTTGAACTACCTGGTATTGGATGTGTACTTTGAAGCCATTGAACCTTTTGCTTGACAGTTGATGCCTATTTTAAACCGAGATTTTTGTTAAGTTTAAATTTAATGGTGCACTTGCATTTTTTTATATTTGAACATTGAGATATCATGCATGTATAATGTAATGGTCATAATTTCATGATTTAAATTTGATTTTTTTTATGTAACTGAAGGTAAAATGTGTTCATTTTAGGAGGATAATAAATTTTTAAAAGGAACTGAAAAAGGTAAGAACCGAATCGAATTTAACTAGAACCGAACCGAATTTAACGTCTATGATTTTTATACGGTTCCATCAAATTTTAACAAGAACCGAACCGATCCGAAGCCTAGTTTGCAACAACAACAAAATATATAAAACAGTAAACAAAGTTTAAGGATTCCAGCAACAACTTCAACAAAACAGGAAATAAAGTAATAAACATTAAACAAACTTCAACAAAACATTAAACATAAGTGTGCAACAAACGTGAAGTGTGAAAAACGAATGAATAGTCGTTTCACACTAACGAATAAAAAGTCGGGTCGTTTAGTGAAGCTCGTCAGTCATGGAAAGTCGTTTCGTACTGTGAGAACCTCGTCAGTCCTGGAATGGCGAAGAATTCAACCGGCGACCATGGCTTGGATTTCGATAAAACTATTCAAAAATCAAGACTGTTGGACTGCCGGTTCGTTGGACGCTGGAGGGAACGGTGAACGGCATGAAGGAGAATCGGCGTACCTGCTGGAACAAGCACGCGTACTGCTACCTGGATCCGCCGTACCCGAAAAGCAAACCTGAAGCGTACTGATCGCGATTGTACTGCGATCCGGATCGCAAATCGCGGGTAAGTCTGCGATCCCTGTGTCTTGATCATAGGTATTACTATTATTTGTTTGTTTTTTATGTTTTAAACTCGGGAAAAGTGTCAAATAGGTTCCTGTACTTTTACGAAAAAGTCAATTGAGTCCTTGTACTAAGTGCATCAATCAAGTCCTCGAAGTGTTAAAATTTGGTCAAATTAGCTATTTAGCCAGTTGCAGCCGGTAATCCCTCAAATGCCTACAAGGAAGTCCTAATATCCGATTGGCATTTTTTACTGTTCCAATGTATTATATTTTGGTTTTCTTTTCTTCTTCTTTTTCATTCTCTCTTTCTTCTTCACCCAATCTTCTGTTCACTTGTTCTCGCTGCCTCCCATTTACTGCATTTCTTTTTTCTTCTTCCTGCCTCACCCCAAATGATTTCTTTTGCATTTTTTTACTTCCAAACTGTCATTCTTCTGAAAGGTTGCGGGAAAAGAAGCTTGACAAAGCTGAGGGCGACAGGCGGCGGACGACAAGAGCCGGGGAAGTTTTGGGAGACGAGCGGTGCACGGTGGCAGTGGGCTGGTTGGGGTTGTTGCGGGCGAGGGGTGGCACTGTGGCAGTGTTTGTGGAATTTGTGAACGTAGGCAGTCGGCGACGAAGATAGGACCGAAGTAGTAGTGGACCACGCGCAGTAGACGACGCAGATTGAAATGGAAGTAATTGTGAACAACGGGTGGCAAAGCCTAGGGAAGCTGTGGGCGGCAGATGCTGATGTAATGGGCGATGAGTGGTGCGGGATGAAATCGGGGAACTTGTGAGCTACGACCGACGATGATTGGTATGGAAAGAAAGAGAATAGCAAAGAAATAAAGAAAGGAAAGACTCCAAGAAGCACTGGTCGACTAGAAAGATAGGGAAGAATGTCACGCCCCGGACCTACCCGGACACGTCAACAACCCGCCGTACAGTACGAATAGTCAACCGCAGTCCAACACATCCATACTATACAAGGCGTCTGGAATATCATTCACACGTAGTACATCCATAAACAAACATAATGTAAAATATTCATTAAAGCAGCGGAAACATTAATATAAGTATTCAAGCCACACTTGGCAAACTTAGGCATACAAGTCCTCAAATAATTAATCAAAAATAATATTCATGAGCATTATTCATATTGCTTTCAAAACAGAAACGGAAGAAGCACGAACCAAGTCTTCTTCCTTTGATCTTCTCGAAGAAACGGGCGGTGGTAGGAACCTTCAAGTTCTACCTGAAACTGTGAGGTGGCCTCCCCCGTGAAGGGGAGGTCAGTACTTTGAAGCATTTGAAAAGTACAATGACAACTACACTGTATATAATCAATGTTTCAATTTCTAAGACCCTCAATCTAGGGCGATACTATATTATAGGTCGTAACCCTCGGTTACCCTATTTAAAACCTACTTACCTTATATATATAGGGTCAAGTAGTCGACCCGTGGGCCCATGCTTACTTTATCACGTCTTTTCACTATGGTAGAGTCACACTCACCAATATCATTCCGTCGTTCTAGAGGCTGACTCTAGTCACTCCATTTCGTGCTAGAGGCTTCCTCTAGTCACTCTACATTATGTTAGAGGCTTCCTCTAGTCATTTCCCGTCGTGCTAGAGGCTCCCTCTAGTCACTCTCCGTTATGCTAGAGGCTTCCTCTAGTCATCTTACGTTATGCTAGATGCTTCCTCTAGTCACAATTCAATATGCTAGAGGCCCCCTCTAGTCATATTATCAAATTCCCAAGCAACTTCTATGCCTAGGATAACTTCATATTGAGTAGCCTTTAAGGCCCACCCCTAGCTTGACTTAGCATTTACACATTCCTATTTTAAAGTATCTCATAAGACTACTTAAGGTATATCTTTCACAATCCAAGTCCTTAGGATTTATTCTATCATTTTTCATGCTAACAGTCCAACTAGTATTTCAATACTAGTCAAGAAATCTTAGAACAACCAAGTTCTTAATTCATAGTCATATTGCTCGTCTCAATTGATTTTCCAATCCAAATATGATTTAACCCCAATATAAAGAATATCACTTTTATCCATTCATGATTTCTTTACATGAAGTAAAAGTATATTTTATCACAATTCTTCAAAATTAATCTCAATATCATGCTATCATATTTATAATGCACAATCATACACAATTACTTCTAAATTTGTATATCATGCTTCATTTACTCATATGCAATAGTATTTTCATTTAGGCATTATTAATCATTAATAATCCATGAAAATCACATTTTACACTTTAGGTAATCTTATGAAATTAACTCACTAATTATAAACAATATGGTCGGTCATCCTCACCTCGAATGAGCTTTAAGAAGTTCTACCCTTCTCGGTTGAACTCCGGCGAAACTTCGGCAAACTCTGGCGATACTCCGGTGATACTCCGTCAAAAGTTAGGAACACCTTAGTCAAACTCCTAACAAGGTTTTATCATCACAAAACTCATGTTAACACAAATAACCTCTAAAAGGTTATTTTCCGGCGAACCGGTCATTTTGCAGCCATGGAGGAGGGTTTGAGAGATTATATTATCTTTCTTGGTGTCCTTGGTGGAGCTCTATGGTTGGAGGGAGGAGGGGATGACACCTTTTGTCTCTTTTGGCAAATGAGTGAGGGAGAATGAGCCCTCCTTGTACTTTTGATGCTCATCACCTCACTCCACCTAACCTCTAAGTCAAACCAGTCCCTCTCACATTAATTTGAGAACACAAAAACGTGGGGTGGCCCCCACTCATGTGGGAGGTCATCCATTTGTGTCCCGATTTGTACAATCGGCCCCGAAAATTGTATTTCTAGGATTGTTTTAATTATATT